CAGGCATATCCTGATTTCCCCCCCCCCCCTTATTTCTCACTGTTATGGCCTTTTCACATTTCTAACCTTAAGCTTGATTCTACTGTGAATACTCTAGAATGATGTAAACAGTTAGGAATGTAAGTGTACATATTGATTGCATACTTGCACATCAGAACTATGTATATAATAAAATATGTGGTCCTTTTGTGAGACTCTCTATAACTTGGAAGATTGCTTTTATTTCCCAGTTTTAAACAACTGCAACACTACTTATAAGTATAAAAAGCGGAGCTGTATTTTTCTGTTAGCTTTTGTCAATATTTGTGCATTTAAAAGTTATTCTAAAGAAATAAGATTTTCCTTTTTAATTTTCTAATATAAACTTTCATGTACACATGCATTAAAAATCTTACTGAGGAAACTATTTAAAAGCATGCTATCCTGTTAAACATGTTTTGGGTTTGTTGAGCCTCTGCTCAGTTTGATTGTTTGTCAGGATTGCTGTGGGGTTGTACATTTGTATTTTCTTCCACAGAGGTTGTACATGCTCCAGTGAAAGGATGGCTGTTTGTCTGAGTGAATTAGTTCAGGAGCCATTTTAGCTCATGCTACACGTATCATCTGGGAACAATTTCCAATTGTATTCATAGTTTCCATTCCAGCCTGAACTCTTGCCTCTATGCATCTGTGCATTTGGCTCTTGCCCAGTTAGAGAGCTGACATTGCCATAGCAGGAGGTACTGTATGAAGAGGTGAGGTGCTTAACACATTCAAAATGAGCTGGGGATAAAGTGGTGAGAACGACCTTTCTTAGTAAAAATGGTTCCAGTGTCTTAAGGCTGGGTTGGCCAGCCTGAGGCCCGTGTGCCACACAAGTGGCATGAGAAGCCTGCGTGTGGCATGTGGCAGATCAGGGAGGGGGTAAACAGCACACAAAGTAGAAAACAGAGCAGCAGGGGAAGTGGATCAGAGCAACACTTAGGGAGCAAGCAGGGTTAATTTGTGGCTCACCAACCAAAAATGTCAACTTGAAGGCAACAACTGCTGAGCTGACCTGAGGTAGTCATATGAAGTCAGTCACAATGAAAGCAATGGTGACAATATCAGTGCTTAAATTAAATGTTAATACCCAGGCAATGTACAGTGAATACTGAAAACTTGCACTTAAGTAAGGCAACCCAATAATGCAAAATAAAACTTCATAGAATGCCACCTTACAGTAAGATAAGCACATACTTAGACTTAAGCTCCAACACCCAGAGGCTTCAGATGGCCTCTGACTTTACTGGCAAAAGAACCAGCAGCGGCTCTGTTGAAGTGGTGAGGTTTTACTAAGTTATATAACAAGATTGAAATTGTGATCCCCTGCCAGACTTCACTAGTACTGAAAGGAAGACAAAGCTTGATCCTTGGATAGCAGTGTCTTGCCTCTAAGTGTGTACTTTTAAGCTCACCTTAATTTCAGCTTTCTCCCTTTCCTTCCTCTGCTGAAACCTAGATGGAACTTTCTTTCAACATGTGTGTCCTCCCTGCCACCTGCACATCACCACCACAGAGGGCTCTCTTGCTGCATCCACATCCTTTTCCATGTGTGTTACCAAGGGCTGATTTCCCTAAGGAAAGGGAGTGAGTGTTTTCAATGTTTGCTCCAATCAAGCTGCTTAAGCTTTAATAGCTGTTTGTCTGCTATTTTGAGGTGCACAGTACACAAATGGGGTGGGCACTGTATGGCCTGCCACAGTGTGGAAGTTGCCTTTAATTACTTAATCTTTTGTTCTAAGAGTCACCCTTTTAAAAATAAAACCCCTCTTTCTAAGGTCTTGGCAGAGTAGTCATTCTTTGAGGCAAACATGGGCCAATGGCCTTTGTGCGTCAGCTCGCCAGCGACTGTTCAGATCAAGTGGATAAAATAATCAGCTTCTCATCTGCACACACTTCCATCTCATACAATATACTTATGGCTCGGGTCCTATGTACTTCAGTGCATTCAGTGCTACTAGTTTTAAATGGCTTTTTGCACCATGAGCTTGCAGGATCTCAGCACCATTGGATATGAATGGTCAATGAAAAGTGCACCTGATCAAGCCAAAATAGTTGCAAGAGAGAATGAGTGCCAGTGGGAAGCGATCTTGCTGTAGTTACTGGTTTTGCATGATAAACTGTGACTTTTTAATGGAAGTCCTTTGCATCCTGTCAAAGGCAAGGCATTAAGGTGATGCCCAAGTCAGATCTGCATGCTTTGTCCCTTTATATTAGTCTGCAGGAGAATAAGAATTTCCCCTGTAGTGGCAGTGGATACCTCCTGGCACACAGATATGATTCATACCACTGACTGCTTGTCTCTTCCCCATCTCATGTCTTTGTTATGAAACCTCCAAGAATAGACATTAACTAAGAAACAGAATTGGTACTTACTGTTCACCTTTCAAATGGCTATGGTCAAGTTTCAGAGATAACAGAGGCTGAGACAACTGGAGCAGTTCAAAACTCAGCTACTGCTTAAACCTCTGTCCAGACCCTCAGGAAGATGACATGTTCAGATATGGAACATTTCCTTTACACGTCAAGGAGCTAGAAACTTTATTTTAAAACTGAGTGGCTGCAAGGCAGACTGACAAGCCATGGGATCTAGTATCTGGCAGTTCCCTTTAAAAGCAACAATTAGCTGGGAAGAGGTTTCATCATTTTAATTTTAAGAATACAGCACATCAGTCTTGAGTTTTCCCATCGGGAAAAGCATGGAGACAGTGGTAACAGGCACAGCACAGCAACCATCAGGGCACATTTGCCTGGCAAGAGGCAAATTGTCAGGTGAGGCTGTGTTTGTTCCCTGGCTTTTTCACAAAGTGCAAAGATGTAGTAGAATATGTATCACTGCAGGGTGATGGAGGAGTTTCTCTTCAGCCAGCTACTGCTGCAAGGCCCAGATCAGGAACAGTGAAGAGAAGCTTTTTTATTCCTGCTTTTTATGTAGCATCTGTTAAGTTAGGTTCCAGGTACGCTGCCATCTAGTAGTGTCGGAGACCACAGAGCTAAAGAGTGGACTCCCCCCATTCACAAAAGAAGGGGTGGGGGGAAAGCAATAGGTGAGGGGATTGTCTACACTGCAGAACTGTGATTGTAACATAGTGTAGACATATTTTGGCTATGGCAGAGCAAATGGATTGGTCCACTTGGTGAGCTGGAAAAGAGGAGGATCTGGGGTAAGCAGAGAGGGAGCTGTCATGTTTACGCTGTATTCTTGTCCAGCTGGAAGCTATTCAGGAAAGGTTTCTGTACCTTTTATATTTAGAAAGAGTCCCCAAAGTGCTAGGTATAGCCACTGTAATAATACTTCAGATACTAGTGCAAGAGGCACTTTAGAAGCAATTCTGCTGATACAGGGTAGTGACATGATTTTTGAACCATCCTACATCTGGCTGCCAAGACACATCCTACAATCAGAAGCCACAACTCCAACCCTCACCTTTGAAATCACTTTCTAAACATAATCAAAGACGACAAGTGATATTCAGGTACTGCCCTAGTTTAATGAGAACACAGAACTTGGCTTACACTATCAGTGAATTGTAACCATGGGCCTAATGTTTTCTGGTTGGTACAGAGAAGGCTTGACAGCTGTAAAACAGGAGATAGGCTGCAGCAGACTGCACTGAGGAGTGTGGAATCTCGGTGACCTGCGAGTCATCGAAGCTGTACCAGTTCTGGGTGACAGTGTGTTTGCAGAAGGCTGTATAGTGGCCACCATCCAGATACCCAAAATGGTTCTGCAACAACAAGCAGCACGTAAGTCCAGGAGGAGCTATGACTCCATTTTAACAGACTAAAAGCCAAGAACCTGGTGATCACTCTCACCTGCACTCAGCAGTTGCGGGGATGGGGAAAACTAAATAAGATTTCAGTTTTTCTTTTACAAAACATTTCTAATATTTAGAACTCTGCAATAGAAAGAGCAAATTAATGTTGTGAATGGGCACTAATAATATTTTCCATGTCAAATATCACCCTTACAAACCAGCTAGCAGCTCCTATCTGTAGGCCAGATGCCTGGTGAGTGGATCTCACTGGCTGCCTATTGCTTATCTACATCCAAAGGCTTTAGGCTTGGAAGTCTGCTCATGGAAACAAGTTTACACCAGTCAGGCAAGGGGAGAGGTTTCATTAACAACGGTTGACTGAGGAACCAGGATGGGTATTCAGCTCATTTACCAAGTCGCTTGAATCAAGTATTTGCCAAATGATGCAATCAGCCTTCAGGATACATGTATTGCATCACAGACTGACAAGGGAGGGTTTATTTAGCCTCTTAAGAAATTGCTCCCTATGAGGAATCATACAACTCCACGTACTCCTGTAGTCATGTAATAAACAGGCGCAGTCACTCTGTAAGCAGGACCAAGCTGTACTGGAGTCATTGTACAGACCTCACACAACTATTAAAAAGTAATAATTGGAGCCAAATTGCTCTTCAGCTACACAGACGAGACTAAGTGTGTTACAGCATGGTTGGAGGTTACTGTGTTATACAATGTCCAGACACATTCAGATTGCATCTGTGTACAGTCCTGCAAGTACAATACGACTTCAAATGCCACAGAGCACAGCCACTATTTCTATGTGGCTACAAACCATCTAATACTAACCAATGAAAACTCTGGTAGTTTGGGAAGTAGTTTTCAATTCAGGAGACCCCTCGTAACCTTGCAACAGCAATCACTGTGTATGTGCTTTTTCCCCCCCAAAATGTTAAACTGTGTGTGCATAGGGGAGGGGTGACTTTGGCTATTTAGGCCAAAGGCCAAGCACTAGCTTCATTCACATGAACATTACAACTAAGGATTACCTTGCTTCAAACTTACCACCACGGCACACAAACTGTACTTTGGATTCTTCCGAAACAGTGGATAGACATAAGGAGAAAGATCCAAGTTGTTTAGTGGATAGTGGATGTCAGTTCCAAGTTTCCTTTTGTAGCTGCCTTGACAATCAAACCTGGAAAAACATGAGATTATTCATAATGCTCCTCAGTCACCAAGCAAGAACCAACCTCTCATGATTGCAAATGCTCTTTGCAGTCTATTTATTTAATCTGTTTTGTAAAATAATTTTCTATCTACTTAAAATAATCCTTGGGACTAATACAGCATTTCAAAATGCATTGCAAGCACTCCTTCCACTGTCCCCCTGAAGTCAGGTAAGCAAGTCAAACATTAAGGAACTGAAATATTTCCTTTTACAGAACATTTCTAATATTTAGAACTCTGCAGCAGAAAGAGCGAATTAATGCTGTGTGCATATCATTAGTGCCCATTCACAGCATTAATTACTGACAGGTCAGAGCACTAGCCACTGTTTTAGCCCCTCACACTCAGGCCAGTGCTAGCAGAGGTAGAAGTAAGTATCTGTAGGGATGGGCATCCTTAACACACATATGGCTGCATGATGTACACATGCACCAGATATCTCCTTTTCTGAATGCCCCAGTTTTACAGCAAACCCTTTTCGTCTTTCATGAGAGTCATTTCTGATCTCATTGTCAATCTCTCATCTCTGCCCCTTACAGGGAAGAGCAGCAAGAATGCACCAAGGGCATGATTTGGATTGCAAAAGGGGATTAAGGGTGAAACATGTTGTCTTGGTTTCTCAGGAGCTTGTCTTGTCAGCTCTAGCTGGCCACGAACGCTCCAAGTACTCTGTGTGTACAACAATCTGCTTCTCTGTGCTGTGCTTTCCCTTTCCTGTTGATGCAAATAACTTCCCTGTTGTCTTGCAGCCATCCTACCATGCAGTGTGTACCTCTTTAAGTGCAAAATAACGATCTTTGGTGCCTTGGCTAGGCAGGTCTTCACTGCAGTGTCTTGCTTTGTGCCACACCATGAACACTGGATTTGGTTATTCCAGGTCAGAATGTCTTGTTGAAAGAAACAGTCAAGACAATCCTGTCAGAAAAAAAACACGTTTAGTAAAATGAGGGCCAAAATGTGTTTGTAGAGAAGTGAGTTTTGGCCAAGGGAGGTGAGTCTGAGGAGATGAAGTCCCAATACATCAGTCTGTTGACTTGGGGAAGCCACCTGTAGTTCTGCCCATGCTAGTAGCAGTAAGAAACTGCCATGATATTATGATTATACAAAGAACATGAAGCAGCTTAAAATCTGCTGCACTTTCCCCTGTCAACAGAAAAATTTAAGAAGTATTAAGGCATTGCTCAGTTGCTCACTTTACAATAAAAATAGACAATTCTCTGAACACCCGGCACCCAGTGGTGACCCCAGAGCATTTTCAAATGCCACAAACTTGACTGTTATCAACCAGAAACACTCCTGAGTCTGATTTAGGAACCCCAAGCCAGACCCTCAACTCAATAAATGTCTCCCTTTATAGATGGTAGTGCTGAAGTGATGTTGTAGCCACGATGAAATATGCAAGAGGCAAGAATTTTGTGGGTGATATTTTTATTGGATCAACTGCATGGTTGGGAAAGACTTAGACAAGAAGGGCATGATGATACCCAAAAGCTTGTCTAAGTCTATCCCAACCATGTAGTTGGTCCAATAGAAGGCATCACCCACAAAAATCTTTGCCTCTCTCTCTACAGATGATATCCTAGAATATGCATGTCCTAAGAACGCATCTGCTCAAGAGAATATATTAGCATAACCTTTCTTCTGCTACACTGAATTCGCGAGTAGGAGGAATCAATGGGAATCCTACCTGTAGAGAGCATGCAGTCTCAGAAGGGATGGGAAGAGAGAGGACAGTAAAGACCTCATTCTTAACAGTGGTGTTCTGACACTCCAGACATGTGATTTCATAACTGAGCTGTCCCTCGAATAGCTGTGTGATGATTGACGTCTCAGGGGAAATCCCTCTGTTTTCCCTGGCAATGGATACGTTTCCCTGGCTGCTTCTTTTGTTTAACTGTACGAAGAAAAATGAAAGATAACACCAATTACTACAAAAATGTCTAAATGTTTATTAATGTTTATGCAACAAGCAAATATCGCCGGTTTGACTGTCAAGGCAGCTGCAAAAGAATCTTCGGTTTTTTCATCCCAAAAGGTGAGAAGCTAGTTGCTTCTTGGGGTGTGGTGAGACCCGGCCCTGAGCATGCCCCCTGTCATATGGTCTAATAAAAGATATCACATTTACCCAAAGAACCTTGTCTGCCTATGTCCTTAAACCAATATGGCTATAACTAACGTCTCCAAAAAATTATTGAAACATTCAGCATCTCCATGCTGTTTTGTACCTTCTACTGCTGTCCTTGCTGCTTCAGGGTAGTGCTAAAACATCCAGTCTGAAAAATCACATTGTTTACTTGTGAGATGGTTGTAAAGCAGAACTCAGAGATGAATAATCTCTGTGAGAGCACTGGGTAGCTGCACAGATTAGTATTGAGTCTCAACTGGGATTAAAACTGATGTGTTATAATGCTGCCATTTTATGTGGTGCACAGCAAGTTGAGCTTTCTTCTCAGCATATTAGCAAAGAGGGATGGGGAAAAACAAAGAGAGGCTTCAGAGCAGGTAGGGTAAATTATAGATGGCATCAAAACAGATTTAAAGGAGAAGCAGAGGTACAGCTGGGCAAATAAGAATATTCTAGGTATGTGGGAGAGACCATTACTATGGTATGGTGTAAGAAGAGGGTGAGGAGGAGGAAACAAGAACAGAGGTTCAAGTGGGTGAGTGAGGCACCTTGGTGATAAGCCATAGCAATAGATAATGAAGGGTGGAGAAAGAGTGCTGTAGTAAAAGTGGTTGGAGCAAAGAAAATGATAATTGGTAGCAGCATTTTGTATAGTTAGGAAGGAAAGAAAAGGGCATTATTGCATTATAGGCTAAACAAACAGTGATGAATTGTAAGAGCACAGGTTCATGGGGACACACTATAGACCAGTGGTTCTTAATATTCTTAGACTCAAGGTGCCCCTTACGAAGTGCTACTCTTACTTTTCACTTGTTTTTTTTCACTACAGAAAAATAACAGAGCAATTCTTCTGTTCCAAAGAACTCAGAAAGACCTGCCAGGGCAGACTGGTTTAACTTTATGAATTCTTTATTGATATCTCTGGGTTTATTTTGTGAATCATGTTTGGACACCAAACAGTGTGTGAGCATTTGTATTGCACTTACCAGCAGCATCCTTGAAAGAATGTGTTGTAACCTCCTGGTTGAGAATCATTGCCATAGACACAGTCCCAGAAGGCCATAATTTTGGTCTTACCTTCTTAAGAGTCTCATGTAGTTCACTCAGGACATAAATCAGAAACTCCTGCGCATCCTGCTGAGTCTTTTTGGTAAAAGCTGGGTGCCGATCACCGATGACTGAACAGAAGACCTCTGGTGATACACAGTCAAAGTCTCCGAGCCATATGTCAGCCATCAGATAGGCAAAGGCAGTAGCAATTTCAACATTTTCCCTTCAGGTGAATAAAAATTGGAGCCAAAGAAAATCATTTAAAATACAAACAAGAAAGACGACTCGAGAAAACATCAGCAAAATACAGTCCAGGTACAACTGCCACTATTTGTCTAATGTAACTCCACAAGTGCTAGAAGGAATCTGTTTGTTTTTTTTTTACAGTCTTCAGTAGTAGCAGCTGCCTGAAAGACATGGTCATAGTTCTCAGTACACTATCATTAATAGAACAAAGATTTGTATTGTAATAGTCATGCAGTCAACCACGGCAGAAAGGAAAGGGGATTGGAGCCATAAAGATAGCAGTAGGAAGGCAGAGGAATTAAGAGAATTAAAGATGGAGACTATAGTGCTGGCAGGAGGAAAGCAGAAGTAGCAGAGAAATTAGGAGTCAATGATATTATCATAAAAGAACGTGGGCAGTGCAGTCAGGACTTGGGATTTGTTGCACCGGGTTTTCTACAAAGGTGAAGTCTGATTTTTGGAGGTATTGAATTCCTGACTGTCAACGTTTCCACTGGGATTTTCATTCCTTCCAAACAGGAGGTCTATAGAATAAGCACAGTCCGCCTGAAGAGCTTAAAATATACCAGCTATTGTGAGGCAAGTAAGAGACTGGGAGAGAACAAGTAGAAACCTAGAGAGGTCAGAAAGAAAGAATTTAGAAAGAGGCCAGAAGATCGCGGTAATATCCACAAACTCCAGCTAATAAGAAGTGGTTGCAGGGAATGACCTAGATGGGGCTTAGGGGTGGGGGGCAGGGGAGGGTATCAGAGTGAAATAGGAGCCATTTTCTGGTGGCCTTGTCCAGATGGGTATAAATGTGCTCTCTAAAACAACATTTCTTTTGGAAAAACCAGCAGAACTGATCAGAAGGACGTGTTCTTGTGGACAGCAGATACATCAACTTACTTGCACAGGGCTGTGATGTACTTTCCTGAGAGAAAATACTCCACCAGTGGGGATATACTGCAGAGGCATTGCAAAACAGCATTCATGTAGCAAGTGTTGCCCAAGTTACGCAGGCCCGTTAGCCCTTGGTACTGCTGACTTTTCTCACCATTTGATTCCTCACTGGAGTCCTTAACATTTTCCAAGTGGGCAGTTTTGGGGCTGTATTCCCAATGAGAACAAAATCCAGAACAGTATTTATTTTTTTACTAAAATGCATAGGTTCCTTATATTACTTACTTAGAAACTTGCGTTAGCTCAGGGGAGGCCATACTGAGCTCGGTTAAGATCTCCCTTAAAATATGCAGTCATATTCTTTCTGGAAGGTATTCAGATTGCTAGTTTGCCATTACCCATTGGTCCCAGCAAGCCCTGCACATCTGGAGCTCCTGCTGACTTTGTAAATGAGAAGTTTACAAAGAAGCTTGAATGATCAAGCCCAGCATTTCAGAAACCCTGAACTTGGGAATTCTTTATATAATGTTCCTCCTCCTCAGTGGCTGCCTAGACAGATGAATAGGTATTTTCCATTGCAATACCAATGAAGCTTAGACTTTACATTAAGTTTGCACTGTTTATTTTCTCTATATACTAACTATGGGACCAATTCTGTGAATCGGCCCTGGGGCAGAACTGGCTGCACTTCTAGGATTGAACCCTGGCAGCACAGAGGCAGCAATGGCATATGGCCCTTCATCACTTTCACCCAACTCCTTTCAGATCATGCCATCCTCTGACTCCCACACAGGGCTGGGGGCCATATTTGCTCTCCATCTTTCTAACCTCATTACTTCTCCCCCTCCTTATTCCCTGCTCTCTCTTCCCATACATGTGTCTGGTGTCGAGATGGATGTGTCTAATCAGACCTAGCAGAATTCAGCAGGTGAACGTTTGCCAGCACTAGTCAGTAATTTCACACCCAAGGCAAAACAGAAACATTCATCCAGAATCACCCACCTGGGTGTGCATCTAGGTGGCGGCAGAAAGTGCCTGCATTGGATGGAAGGAAACACAGAGTCAGCACCAAATGCTTGCAGATCTAAGAGTCTGTAAGTGCAGTTAGGTCATACAGCCTGATGTAAAACTAGGGAAATAAGCCCCTGGAGAATCAACATAGGGACAAAAGAGGGTTGCAATTTTTTTGTTTGTTTTTGTTTGTTTTTTTTGTTTTGTTTTGTTTTTTAAAGACATTTTCCAGGCAAAAGAACCTGCTTCCCTGTGTGCTTTCAGGGGAAGTGGATTCCTTTCTCCAGTGATATCACATGGGGAAAAGTTACAGGGTTCCTGAACAGGCATAGTTGGGTGCAGCAACAGCAGAGGCATTATTGATTGCATTTTCTTCTGGACAAAGCACTGAAATGCATCATGTAGGGCAGCATTTCTCAACCTGTGGGTCACAACAAGAATATATGAAACAGTCATGAACAAACTTTAAAAATGGAAAAAACATGGGAAACCATGGCTTTTTCCTTGCAGGCTGGCAGAGTTCCAGCATGCCACACACG